AATTACAGAATAAAAGATAAAGTGGATTCGTAATGAACTTTTGGTGCATCAAGTTAATTGTTTACCCACCAACATATAATCTTAGTATTACAAATGCAGAAGACACTCCCAGGGAAACCGGAAAAGACTAAACAGCATCGGCTTATGAAATTCAGAATTTAAACCTGTAAACTAGAGGAACTTCAAATACATCAACTCACTCCTCTTGATCCTGGAAATAGAAAGAGACTATGTTAACTTCCTATAGAAATTCTTGAAGTATATAATAAGTAGAATAACATTGAAATAAACTAAATTTTAGAAGCATACTTGATATGCTGCTTTTTTAGATAATTAAAACTAAACCGACGGTAACTAAAAGTGTCAGAAAAATTTGCAGCATCATCTACTTTAGACAAGAGAAATTGACAAGCATTCTTGCTATGCTGTTTTTCATCAGTATCAAAGTTCCACTTAATACAAATATTTCTTTTCTTTCCTTTCCATTTAAAAAAATCTAGTTATTGTTATGAGAAATTATCTTAAGAAAAAAGTTCACTCATAGTAACCAATTTTTTGATTCAGATCGATGACTCATATATGGCTCTAATAGAGTTGTTGGTTGGTTGAATGTTGAAGTTGATGATCACAAAATTGGATATCGGGCATTTACAACCTAACCCAGATTGGCTCCACTGGTGCTAATACATATACTCATTTGATACCTTGAGATAAGTGCTAATAGGTTGAAGAAAACTCTAATATTTATATAGACAAAGGATTACCACTAAACAATTAAAACATGAATGTGCAACCCAGAAAAGGAAGAGTCAACAAGATTAAACTCGTAGTTCAATAACGTATTAGGCCAACCTTGGGTGCAGGAGCATCGTCAAGCTTAGGAGGAGTCAACTTTGGAGAATATCCACCAAAAATACTGGAACAATCTGTGTATGCAGATCCAATTCCAACCCCGGCACCAAAAGCTACAGATGCCCATCTAGTCACTGGACTCCCTGGCATGACAAATCAAAGTTATTAATTCAAGGAAGGATTGGGGAAGACAAGAAAAGGAGAAAGCACAAAAATGGAAAGGCACAGTAGCGACAATGCTTGGACATACAACTACTACAAGGAAACTCATGCAAACTGAGTGTACTCTGTCTGCAACCTAGATGAACCTATAGTAAAAGGTTAAATGTATAATCACTTTAACTGTTAAGGCTTTGCTTGGAAGAAATGATAAAAAGTTTTAGCTCGACGATTGAAGTTGGCTACGAGGCATAAAACTAAAATCCATTCCTTTTCCCTTTTCCCTCCCTGCAAAGCAAAGAAGTAATCAAGTTCTTAATCAATTCTAGGCAATCTACAGCAACGACCAAAAGGAACTAGTTATGGTATTGGAATATAAGGCAAATCAAAACCAACACACGAGATGCAAGGTTGCTCAAGCATCTTAGGCTATGAGATTCATTCAATACCATATGGTCTCTCAAGCTTTTCTCCTTAACAAAGCCACTTGGTCTGAACCGTTGCCAACTTAAATGGATACTAAAGAATACAGCACCAGATTTAAATAGCAACCACAACGCAATATTAAATCTGCTATTTTTCAGTTACGTCTCTCTTTGCTGTCAATATTCGCACATGATATTTGTTGCAGCTGACTCATTACGTTCTCAAGCACAATAGAAAACGATGCATCCAAAACATGTCCGCTGACTGCAATTTAAATCTTACATATTTCAAGTACATGTATATGCATAATATTTGCATCAAAATCTATGACTGTGGAGCATGCGCGTGTAAAATTTGAAAAGCGAATGCTACCAAGTGCCAAACAGAATTGAAAAATAAATACTTTGAATATAATGAAACAATAACAAGAAACATGGGAAAATGGTGGCAAGCAGAAAATCAGAAAGCAAAATTTCTAGAACCAATTAGGCCAATCTGCAATCCATGATTTTTAATCATCTAGCTTAATAAAACTAAATTGTAGTCATTAAGTGCGATGCAATTGGGGAAATCGAAAACAATATCTTAAGAGGAGAAAAAAGAACAAAATTAGGGAAAGAGAGACGAACTGAAGAAAATGAGGCCACCGAAAGCGCCGGCCAACGAAGAGTAAACGAAGCGGCGGAGAGAGAGATCGATGCATTCGTCCCATTTAGCGTTCATGTCATACTTGGACGCCAACGACTCCTTGTTCTCTTCCATTTCAAAACTTTCTTTGTTTATTCGGATTGTTGCTCGGATTTACCTTTCTTTTGCTTCGCCTTTTGTTGTTTAGATCTGCCGCGATGGTTCCACGATCGTCTGAATCTGATTGATGTGTTTCTTACCATGGAAATGTGATTTTCTGACTTGCCGTACGCATCGTATTTACCTAATTATCCTTATGCTCCTAATCAAATTAAAATTCTATTTTCCTGATTCTATTAGTTAGATTATGTTTTCAGGTCTCTACTTTTTGCAATTTGTAATTTTGTTATCTGGTTTATTTTTAAGAATTTAATTTCTATATATTAAATTAAAAATTAAAATTTATATAGTCATAATATTATTATTTTTTTATTTGATATTTTTATCAATTATATAATAAATAATTAATTTATTTTAAATAATTTTGATTCACCGATGAAGTAGTAATATCTTTTTTGATTTTATTTAAGAATATTACAAAATAATTATGATATAGAGATAAAGAAACCGAGTGGAAAATCAAATAAAAAATATCAAATCAATATTATCATTAATTTACGTTGATTAAAATAGGAAAAACTTAAAATTAATAAAAATTAAAATTTGATCATATTTGATGACTAATTTATCAAAATATAAAAGAGTGCAGGGATTTAAAGACAATTTTATTTTTATGTGAAACTTTCATCTCTGAAACATTCAAAAGACTCAACCCAAATAGGGCAGCTCCCAAACCGAACACAAAATGAAAGAAGGGAAAAGGCCCAACCCCCGGTCCAACCAAATCGAAACCTAAGCCTAAGGTACCTCAAGTCGCAGAATAAACGCCAGGCGCTAGCAGGGAGTAAACAAGCCAAGTTGAGTTTAATTTGATTTAAAAAATTCATGAATTTAATTTGAATTAAAAAAAATCATGAAATTAAGATTGTCAAATTTGAATTAAACTCAAAATCAGAAAATTGAAGCTTAATTAGAGCTAAAAAAAACTTGAATTTAAAACATTCAAAGACTCAGCTCGGTTGAAGCTCGAAATCGAACTCAAATATGAACATTAAATACATAATAACATTATACTTATTTTTTATTAAAAAATAGCATATAATATTAATATCATTAATAATGTGATTTTAAAAAAAGTAATATATTATTTTTATATCACTCATAATTTTTTTAATCTTATGTTAAATTATTATAATTTGTTAAGAGTTTAACTCAAATGGAGATTAACCGAGCTTTTATGGCATTGAACTTAAATACCTTGCCATCCAACGGTCAAACAATTAAGTCACAATGCAATTGCAAGTAGGGGTGTAAATAAGACGAGACAGATCATGAGCTATTCGAGATCGACTCGATCAAGGTTCGATAAATACTCGGATCGAATGGGTTCGACTCGAGCTCGAGCTCGACTCGAGTTCTTAACGAGTCAAATCGAGCTATTTGATATTCGACTCGAAAAGCTTGTGAGTAGCTCCAAAATATAATATATTATGATTTTATTTTTTAAAAATAAATTATTAATAATATTAACATTTATGTATTGATTTTTTTTAAAATACAATAAGATTTTTATGTATTTAAGGTTCATGTTCGAGTTTGAGTTTGAGGCTTCAATCGAGTTAAGTTTATTTTTTTTTTCATTTTGAGCCTTTTTGAGCTACTCACGAGCTTTAGTTCAGGATTTCGAGTTCGAGTCGAGTTTGAAAATTTTAAGCTCGCGAGTTTTCGAGTCAAGTTGAGCTCCATTTCAGAGTTTTCGAGTCGAGTCGAGTTCAGCAATACTCGAACTCGACTCGGCTCGTTTACACCCCTAATTGCAAGGACGGTCTCAACCATCATTTGGATACCACTCTACTAACCAAAGCTTCTCGCCCGATTTTTCTCGCAAAATTCCCCAACCCACTCCCTATATAAACCCCATTCCCATTCCCCAACTCAAAAAATCACACGTAAATTTTATTTTCTTTCAATTTATTCTATATATATAAACAAGGTATAATTATTTAGTTTTTAGTAAATTTTTATTATTTTATTATTTATTTTATATTTATTATAAACTAATTTAATTAATGTTTTTAATTATAGGTAAAAATTGGAAGATGAGTTGTTGTGATTGGATGCTGAACATATTTCGAGTCATTTTGCAGATACGGTAAGAATACAAAACTATATTATTTTTAAATTTACGAATATTATGGAATAAATTATATATGATTAAATTGTTAGAATTTATTTAAAGAAAATAGAAATAGAAGTTCAAATTTTAATGCTCATAATTTATTTATTAGGAAAATGATCATATATCAGAAGTTTTTATTTGCAATCAAAAGATGACAACACTGATACGTATATTGCCCTATTTGTCTATGGTTGGATTCGGTTACATAGAAAAAATTAAAGGAGGTTGTAAACTTGAACCTGCCCTGATTTCTGCACTCATTGAGAGATGGAGGCAAGAGACACACATGTTCCATCTACCATGTGGTGAGTGCACGATTACACTGTAGGATGTTTCAATGCAACTCGGGCTACCGGTAGATGGAACAACCATATGTGGTGTGATAGATGATGATTAGGGGGTCTATGCATAGAGTATCTTGGGAAGACGCTGCCCAGTTTCAACGGTGGTTAAATAAAATTACCGTGGATGAAAAGTGAATTTAAAAAGTTGCCCAAAAATTGTTCGGAGGACAACACAAAAGCATTTTTATTGGGTATATATTATACAACTCATTGGAGGGATATTGACGCCCAACAAATCTCGAAATCAGGTGCATTGTATGTACTTGCGACATCTGATTGATTTTGAAGAAGACGACACATTGAGCTGGGGGTTGTGGTGTTGGCATTTTTATTTAGAGAAATGTGTCAGTTTACAAAATATAGCATGATTGTTATTGGTGGGTGTCTCATGCTTCTCCAATCGTGGGCATGTATCGCATGCCTTTTTTGTGCATGATTGTGAATGACCCTTATGCATTTCCATTACTGTCAATATATCAAGACTAAATTTATTTTTAAATAATATTTTATATATTAATATAGATATATATATATATATATATATATATATATTAATTTGGTGATCAAATAAAAGGAAAAATCATCTTGATATCCCAAAAAAATTAGAAGATATCTGATTATTGATTGACCAGAAAACTAGTGGAGATGTACGTTTTTTATTATCAATTTTGATTTAATTGTATTGATATAATTTAAATCTCATTTTAATTTTGATAAGAAATATATATTTTTGTTTTAGTTCAAATGGTTACTGTATTTGGATGATGAATTGAGGGTTTGTATCTCACCTAACTTGAGTGGGCTATTGGATGTATGGATGGCGGTTGTGCCCCTTATTTGTTATGTTGTTGTTAAGTGGCATCTGATTTATCGTGTGCTTCATCAATTTAGTTTTACACAATACATTCCCGAAACACTAAGAAGCATGGAAAAAATGCATAACGTTGATAGGCAGAGCAAGAAAGAGGTTAATTGGTTGGTGAAACATAGAGACTGGTTGGTTATATGGGAGATTTGGCATCAACGCTTGCCCCATCGACAATATATATTAGAAATTGGTTGTATGGTTTCATCTGGCTATATAGAATGATTTAACGTAAATGGGAAGCCATTCTTACTTTTGGAGGAAACACGAGGGTGCCAATTCATCGTAGGCAACCAAGACATCCGACATCGTAACATCATCGTCCCCCACTACTAGAAGAAGAGCTGACGCTTTTGGGTTGTATGTATTTAAGCCACCAGACCTTCACACTAACCGCAGTGAGACCGGTATACATCACTATCTCTCCATCTTATATGGAGACACCGTATCAGTTTCAAACACCCTCGTTATCGGTTCATATGCCATATCCACCAGTTGAGATTCCAAATTCTTCGTTCATATGCCACAATCGTATGGCTACGCACAGAGGCCGTAGAGTTTTATGACACCCCCTAGCGGGTAGTTTTTTCATCTGTGCTTGCGGATCCGACATTCAGTTCCTATGCGAGTTAACTTGCGGGTGGTCCTTTACCAAAAACACTACACCCACATGTTTGATTTTTCACATTTTTCATGGTTCTCAAGAGTGGTGGGATAATCAATCAAACACCTCCAAGATACTTATTCTACTGAGGTGATACATCGACATTCACCCCTTACCAAGATAATGTTATTGAGACTGATGATGACGATAAAGACAACGAGGATGATGATGATGATAAGAAGGAAAGTGAAGAGAAGTAGCAGTAGATAAGAAAAATCCTTTTCGAACTAGACGACCAGCATCTTGGGAAACACATTATAGGAGACATTGATAAATATAATAAAATTGTAATGTTTTTATTAATTATTTCTTTATTATGTATTTGAATCTTATTTTATTTTTTTATGTATTTTGTATAAAGTTGTTATGTTTCTTTTTATGTATTTATTATTTATAATTTCTTTTTATGTTTTTGTCGCTTATTTGATTTTTCCATCTTGTTATGTTTCTTTATTCATTATTTTGTATTTATATAAAATATGTTTTTGAATGATGTTTAATGTTTTTTTTATGAAAAAAGACAAAGAAAATACAGTAAATTGGGTAAGCTCGTTTTATAGGACGCGCTTTGTAAGGGTTATATATATGTGTGAGGTGAAAGCTAATTTTAATATATCCAGAAAAAAGCTTGAGTTGTTTACCTAGGATGACTACTATTCAGGCAATTGTTTTTTATTTCAAAATGTTAAGTATGTCTATCAACAACGACAAAAATCACTTAAGGAGTTGAAGCGTAAAATAGTAAGAAACGTTAAACTCGAGAGGAAAAGAAGAATTTCTTTGTTACATTGTAGGTTGCATGTTTCATTTAAAAGGTTTCTTCTAAGCGATGATGTCGACCTTTATGGAATGACTGAGACATACTTCTCTTTTTATGTATCTCATGTGGATTTGTTTGTAGAGTTTGATCATGTTGAGGATGATGCTTCGAGTTTGACTACCAACACATAAAATTTAATGAGTTGATGAACACAGAGATAAATGATGAAGACCCTGAAGCATGGTTCAAACACAATTGGACATCATAACAACATTAAAAAATATATGTTTTAGGACGTGCTTGTATGCTTATATTTATTGTTTTAGGTGTATTACTATGCTTTTATTTACTGTTTAAGGTGTGTGCCAGATGTGTTGTATTTCTAACTCATTGGTTTGGTATTCTTAATGTCATGATTAATAGTTTGTTGTTTAATGTAATGTTCATGGTTTGTTGTTTTTATAGTCCTACTAAGAACAAAATTAATTACAATATTGCTTTCACGATTCTAGAAACCATAAAAACAACCTCTAAATGTGTCATCACATGCACAATATGTTTGTGGAGTCTTGCTTTATGACACCCATAGTAGAGACTTCCTTCAAGATATGACAACCAACTTCAACATTGACACAATATTTGAAAAAACACTCCACTATACCTTTCCTAAGCAATGCATCTGGATTTCTGGAAACATAACCCTTTCATACGAGCAGTCATTCACAAAGATCCAAAGGTTTCAAGGCATACTGATGAAGTTGAACATTTGGAAATATGATTCTGTAATTGGATGTCAAGCAAAAGTCCCAATGAGTTAAACGAATGTGGAGAAAGTCCTCAATTGAATTGGAAGCAACACAACGTAAAATATCAACTAATATATCATTTGGGAGATAAGATAATGAACATTTAGCTGCCATTGAAAACGATTGAAAAGTCTATGAAAATGATATATAATATACTAATGAAACACGGAAGGTAAAGTACTTAGGACCACTTGCTTAATCTTTCATATATATAGTGTCTAACGCTGGATAATATACAATCTCGAGAAAAATAAATGCACATTTCAATCGAAGCATTCCTTCCTGCCAACAGATAAAACTTCAATTCACTGAGATTCTAAGACAAAATCTACCGATAAGGAAATGTGCATTCCAGGGGATGCGTTTTTCCATTATTTTTCAGAGAATCTCTGGATTATAATAGTAATCCATCCCATCCGAAATGAAAGGCGTGTTCCAGGGGAAGCATTTTTCCATTATTATTCAGAGAATCATTGGATTATAATAGTAATCCATCTCGTCCGAAATAAAAGGCGCGTTTCAGGATAAGAGTTTTCCATTATTATTTAGAAAATCTCTGTCATGTCAGAGTGTTCCATCCCATTCGAAGTGAAAGGCGTATTTCAAGGAAAGTGTTTTCCATTATTATTTAGAGAATCTCTATCATGTCAGAGTGTTTCATCCCATCCAAAATGAAAGGCGTGTTTCGGGGAAAGAGTTTTCCATTATTATTCAGATAATTTCTATCATGTCATAGTATTCCATCCCATCCAAAATGAAAGGCGTGTTTCGGGGAAAGAGTTTTCCATTATTTTCAGATAATTTCTATCATGTCATAGTATTCCATCCCATTTGAAATGAAAGGCGTATTTCGGGGAAAACTTTTTCCTTTATTATTCAAAGAATATTTTCCATGCCAGAGTGTTTCATCCCATCCGAAATGAAAAGTGTGTTTTCCATTATTATTCAGAGAATCTATGCCACTTCACATAATTGACATGAATTGTTCCCCGACCCTAAACATATTAAATTCTTAAATTCAAAAACTCAGTAACTCTAACTATTAAACTCTCAAACGTTCAAAACTTCAAACTTTGAAATGCTCAAACTATGAAAATGGCTCTTATTTCAGCTGTTGTTTACTAAGATGGAGAAATCAGGGAAGATCAATACGGGGTTATTTTCTGATCAAATCATTATATTCTCCTATCCTCCAGGAGAAACATTACTCTTTATGATTTAATCACAAAAGTCTCAAGGAAGGCTCGTGTTGGAAACAGTAGAAGACTGGCTACACTTTAGTACATTTTTTACTAATATTTTTCTGTTAACATATACATCGTTCAATCTCTCAAACGAGATATTTTGGAGGACCAAGATATTTTCTGGGAATTGAGGTTTCTAAGTCTTAGGAAGGTTTTCTGTTGAGTCAAAAAAGTACACTTTGGAGCTTATTAAAGATATGGGTTTATGTACTGCAAAGATGGTTTTGTCACCATTAGAATAAAACTTAAGGTTGACTAAAACAGAGTATGATGAAGTTACTCGGCAACATCAAGATGATCGATTGTTGGAACACAAAATAGTTTATCAAATACTCATTGGTAGACTCATTTACTTAACTCATACACGGCCTGATGTTACATATCGTTGAGTTAATCGATCTACGAATCGGCCAAGAGGGGGTGAATTGGCAATTAAAAAATTGGTGGAAGCTTTTGCAAAAAATTGAAAGTAATTGCACAACGATTTAGAGTGGTTCAACTTTCTCAACCAAAGCCCATGTCCACTACCTTAGCTATCCACACTAAGGATTTTCCAACAAACTCACTAATTTGTTCTTTCTTTTGAGGCCAAAGAGATAACCTTACAACTCCCTCAAGAATATACCCCAATTCTTGAGAACACTCTTTCTCAAAGAGAAGATTACAAATTCACAAACATAATAAAAAACCTCACAAGGAAAATGTGTTTGCACAATTCTATAACAAAGAAAGAACACTCAAGAATAATACAATTGAGCACAATAAGTGTTCTTGAAAGCAAAAATGAATATTGAATGAAATAGACTTGAAAATGCTCAAACTTGAGGTTTGATGCTTTTTCTTTGATTCTCTCTTGATTCTTGTTGATTGTTGTTTCTTGTTTTTGATCAATGGCTTCTAAGCTTGTTTAAATACTCCTTCAATTGATTCTGAACGTTGGGGATGGTTAGTGGAGTCAATGGAGC